CTCTGCTATTATCTTCGCAACAATTCTGTATGATAGATTAGGTTGAGAGATGATGATTGGCCAAAGGTCACCCAATGGGACTTATCCCTGCATGGAGATTTGAACTCAAATTGCCCTATTTTAATCAAATGCTGTAACCTGTCAATGTTCTGATTGTCCTCAGGCCTTTTAAATGCTTCCATGTGATGACTTTACACCAGTTTCAAAATCAGTTTTCATAACATTGCTAGTATTGAGAACTGGCATTTATTTATTTATTTTTGGCTTATAGTGAACTGGAAATAGTAGTAAAGCTAGTCTTCCCTTTGAAATACTACAGCTGTTTCTCAATTCTCAATCTATATCTGCAGGAATTACACACCTGGGTCATGTACAAAGTCAGATTACCAACAAAAAACAAAAAAGACCCCACCCTCTATTTCTCCAAAAGAGAAAATTAGTTTATGAATAAAGGCAAAAAAAAATAGTTCGTCTTTTTAAAAATTGAGCTATGGCTGCCGGAAAAGAACCTGGAAACTAGAAGTCTTTGAGTGTGAAGATTCGTTCTCCGAGCTTTTGGGTTGGTTTCTCAATGTTTCGTTACCAGGCTAGGTAACATCACCATCCAACCAAAATTCTAGGTACGCTACATCGATGACACTTTCGTCATCATCAAATGCTCCCAAATTGAAGAAACACACCACACTGAAGATGTTTCCTAGCCTGCTAATGAAACATTCAGAAACCAACCCACAAGCTTGGAAAACGAAACTTCACCCTCGTCCAACGCCCAACCTACAGATATTCACCACTACTGCAAATTAGAAGTCTTTCCTATAGCTGTTGGTTAATGCTTTGTTGTATCTGGTGGTTATTATATCCCTACAATTCAGCCTTCGTGTTTTTTATATAGACTCGTTTTTTATATAGACTCGTACCTCTTTACATCAAACTTACCTATAGACGAAAAGCAGACCTGCATCATCTTGTAGTCTGTCAGAATTTTATCTTAACTATTGTAGGACTTCTTTATATTGCTATACTGTATGTGATTTTAGCAATTCTACAGTTTTTAATTCTTCCATCATTTTACATGTTGCATGTTATTAAAAATAAATGTTTACTTTTGATTTAATAAAGTTTGATCTCATTTATACCATCCAGCACCCAAAAGAATCTGGATGGATTTATTACCTAATCATATCCCTCAATATAAAGGGCCAAGAAGCAATATTATAGAATGTGTTTCATTTTTATATTTTTTTAAAAAATTTACTTGCAGTAAAATGAGGTGGGGGAGCTATGTCTCCCTCAGGCATCAGGTAAAGATGGAATATTGGCTCATCCATAAGGCATAAACTGAAGCTTCAGTTAATGAGGGCAGCTACATTATGAGGTAGAAGGTCAACATCTTTTAAACCTTTTGCAGATCTCCTACAGCAGTGGTGGCGAACCTATGGCACGGGTGCCAGAGGCGGCACTCAGAGCCCTCTCTGTGGGCACGCGCACCGTTGCCCATGTCCTAGGCCTTCAGCTGGGTTTTATAAAACCTTTTCGCTTTAGGCCTCCGCCGCCGTGTGCAAAAAAAAAAAAGGTTCAATCAGTCAATTTCAACTTCTCACGGGAAAAAAAAAGATCTTGTAAAGTTGGGATTGATTGATTGAACTTTTTAGTCCTACCCAGTCTGCCGTTACCACCGCAGCCATGCCCACCCAATGAGCCCCGCCCACCCAATGGGCCCCGCCCACCCAATTGGCCACACCCAGCCAATGGGCCACACCCACCTGGCACTCGATGGTGCATAAGTGGGTTTTGGGTTGCAGTTTGGCCACTCAGTCTCTAAAAGGTTCGCCATCACTGTCCTACAGGGTCTCTAAATGGTTTGGTGCCTCAATCCTGGCATTTTTTCTAAGGTTTTTTTTTTGTATTTAAAATAAAAATAGAGTTTCAGAAATTATAATATTAATAAGTGGACAAAGAAAATGACTGAAGTTATTTAATACTCAATATATCATTAATAAAAGATAATACCAAACCAAATACATTGAGTTGTTTTATGATATGAAGAAAAGGTATAAATCTTTGAACTCCATTATATTTGTACGGGGAAAAACTCTTGCAGGCAAAGCTATGAAGTTAAAAATTAAGCTTATACAATAGCGTATTTCTTCATTATCTGAACGATGAATTGGCATTGCTGACCATAGCTATTGTCAGACCCAATGTTTGTTACACATCTCACTGTATGAATACTGCACAGTTTTCCAAGAACAGAGAACTATCATATGGAAAAAAAAGGAGGAAGGCCTGAAACAGCAGTCCCATAACATACCTGAGTGGAAATGTTAGATACAGCAACCAAGCCTTAGTAGGACTTACTGCTAAAAATTTTAATATTAGCTGGAGGTCCAATACCACATTATTTTCAACATGTTTTTTTCTGTTCAATTTTGTTTTCTGACACGCCTTACCTACGGAGCAATTGAGGAAGGCAACACGTGCAAGGCCTTGGAACAGTGGTTCTCAACCTGTGGGTCGGGACCCCATTTGGGGTCGATCGACCATTTCACGGGGGTCGCCAAGCAAGGCTGTCCGCCATTTTTTCCCCTTTTCCGGCGGGTGCCTTACCTCCCTTGGGCTGGGCCAGCTGGTGGTCGGCCTGCTCTGTCTCTGCCGCTTACCAGCTACGCCTCGGCCGGCGCAGGGGGCGGAACCACGCATGCGCGGCGCTCCTGGGCAGGGAAAGTCCTCAACTTACGACCAGTTGGGTAGTCCTCAACTTACGACTGGTTTAGTCCTCGACTTACGACCGGTTTAGTCCTCGACTTACGACCGGTTTAGTCCTCGACTTACGACCGGTTGGGGTCGCGGCATTAAAAAGGTTGAGAACCACTGCCTTGGAATATCAGAGTAAGCACTGTAGTTCCACACACAAATGGAGGAAATCCTACTAAGGCAGTAGAGCTTCCTTTTCATCAGACATTCATGAGAGTCTGCTGTTAAGCTGGCAGGTAATAAACAGTGCCCACTTCTAATTCAGATAAATCTGATACAAAGGTGGTGATGAACAGTTAGCTTCTTATATTTTATCATAAGCTACACTATACATAAATTATGTAAGGAAAATTTAAATGAGCCTCTATTCGGGGGGGGGGGGGGAAGCAAACCTTACCTCCATTAGCAGTTTTCCCTGCTCTGCATCAGGCTGGGAACCATTTGCAGTGGAGACTGCTTTGTAGGTAGCAATGGATGTTTCACTAGCAGGTCCTGGATGAAACCCAGAAGTATTGCCAACCTCTTCACTAAATGTTTGGTTCATATCAAGTGTCAAGGGATCCTCCTCCATAAAAATGCTAGAATCGGGAAGACTTTGGTCACCTCCTCCTCCTCCTTCTTCTTCTCCTCCTCCGTGTTCTTCTACAAGACAGCTAATAGGTTCTGCTTCAGCATCTTCTTGCTCTGAATCTCTCTCGTGGGTTCCCTCTTCCACACGGGCTGATCGTTTGGCAACTGTTGGTTCCCCCTTGGAGTCAGCAATTGTTTTCCTAATAATCCTTTTCTCTCTGGGCTTCCCTGTAAGAAAGAAGTATTTTTATTCTGCTTTATTCCACAGATCTATAGATGGGACTAAAATTACCTTTTATAACTCATTTTTTTTGGGGGGGGGAGGGGAGGAACTTCACAGAGATTTTCAAATTATTAATTGTAGGATTAAGCCTGTGGGATCAAACCAGTCAGTCCTAGAGGAGATCAACCCTGACTGCTCTTTAGAAGGCCAGATCCTGAAGTTGAAACTCAAATACTTTGGCCACCTAATGAGAAGGAAGGACTCACTGGAGAAGGGCCTAATGCTGGGAAAACTCCTTGCTCATTCTGTTACCTTGCTTTCCTGGATAGACAGTTTCCCAGTTTTCCTTTATTCATTTCTTGGCTAATTTTCTTTCATTTCACCTTGAACTTGACAAGGGGTTGCTTTTGGTAAAGCAGGTTACATGGTCACCAATCTAGCCCTTCCTTGTTGAGAAACTTAGAGAATTATGTCATTCTTCTCTTTCTCTCCCCTTCCCTCCCTCCCTCCCTCCCTCCCTCCAGCTTCTTCCTAAATTGTTGATATGTAATAGCAAAGTCGTACCTACAACAAACTCTGTGTGACTTTGGTATTTCTCTTTTTTCAAACTCTTTTTTTGTTTTTTCAACCCATCTCCAGCTTTCTGTATTGGCTGTTTTTTTTGTCTTTCAGTCCTTTTGCTCTTTAAAACACCTTCAGCCTGTAAACAGGAAAAGAAGAATCAGATATAGACCTCTCCTTTTTAATGTAACCCTACCCTCTATCTGGGGAGCGAGTGCATGAACAAAAGCAGAGGCTCAGCCTAGTCCAATTCATCCTTATTGTAATTTTTCCAGAAAGTAGCATCTTTTTCTCAACTGCGCTGAGCATCTCTCAAGTGAATTGCATGAATCTACTGAGTGACCAACAAACTACTAACCTTCCTATATCTATTGACAATTAAAGGATAAATAATATCTGAACCACGGGTAGCAGAAAGAATACACGAAGCATCTCCACAAGATCTAAGAAGCCTAGAAAGCTGAATCTAGGAAAGAATGGTAAGAGAAAAGGGGAGAGGTTGCAAGAGAAAAGGCAAGTATTTCATGACAATTAAGAAAAAAGATCAACATGAGTATTGCATGACGGCAATGCTAAAGCCGATCTGGAAACTCACATTACATTTGCCAAGTTCCAGTTTTTCTAACAGTGATGAGATACTGGTATTCTAAAATTTATCACAAATAGGTCCATGTCACCCAATCTAGCTTTGTTTCTCTTCTTCCTCCCCATTTCCTCAATAATCTAGATCCACATCAGTTTTGTTTGTGTTGCAGGCACAAGATGCAAACCCCAGCCATACCTGTTTGAGACGGGCAACCCCAGCTGGTTGGCTGGTTGACTCTGAAAATGTCATATCTTCCTCCATGCCAAATGTTTCAGGAACATACAGGTCAATTCTTGGATTCTCCATACCTTCTTCATGGTAGTCAAAAGGTTTTATGGGAGAATGTTCAGGATTTGGAGCTTGCCCTCTATGAAAATGCATTTATGGAATCATGTTTAGATCAGATAAACTTTTAGAAAACTCCCAAGCGCATGATCTTTCTTCCACCTTGTAAAATTAGCAAAATCAGTCAAAGGACAAATAGCTTTTATTGTCCTTTTCCTAGTACTCTTCTCTTTGTGTTTACTTTCAAGTGCTGGTACGTCTGGAGCTGTAACTCAAGAATTTATTTTATTTTATTTATTTTATAGGATTTATATGCCGCCCTTCTCCCTTCATGGGACTCAGGGCGGCTCACAGCATATTAAAACATCATACAAAAAATTTCCCCTACTAAAAACCAATTAAAACCCAAATATTGGTAGCTGTGGCTCTTTAAAATCGTTAAAACTTGTCCCTATTTAAAACTCACCCTAGGTCAGGCCCGCTTGTTGAAAAAGCCATGTCTTGAGGGCGCGGCGGAAGGTTAAGAGATCCGGAATCGTCCGGATCTCGGGGGGTAGTTCGTTCCAGAGGGTGGGGGCACCCACAGAGAAGGCCCTCCCCCTGGGGGTCGCCAGCCGACATTGCTTGGCCGACGGCACCCTGAGNCTATAGACAGCGATGGAACTAACTGACTATGCCGGGGCGCCGGCAGCCACAGCCACTCGGTCTTGGAAGGGTTGAGTCTGAGTCTGTTCCTTCCCATCCAGACCCGTACGGCCTCCAGGCAACGGGCCATCACGTCAAGGGCATCGTTGGGGTGACCCGGGGTGGAGATGTACAGCTGAGTATCATCAGCGTACTGATGAACCTATCTTGCCTCCTTATTACTGGAAAAAGGATTTTTTTTAATGTATTTATATTAATGGTACTCCCAGGACTCACTTAAGTTGATAGTTGCAGAAATATTCTACCCCAGTGGTTTTCAATGTTTTCTTCACCACAGACCCCCTTTAAATACTTTTTGATGCCCCGCCTAGACCATGGCCACGGACTTCCAAGACTTAACTCAAGATTTAAATCATAACATTTCTTCAAGCCTTCACAGATCCCGTGACAACATTCCTCCCCCCCCAGGGTCTGTGGACCAAAGGTTGAGAACCACTGTTCTACCCCATTTTAACGTCTGAATCTTTCAAAAGGTCTTTTCAAAACCACAAGCTTTTCTGGGGAAGCATTACCTGGTTTAATTCCCTAGGTTCTCCTGCTTGAGCAGGGGGCTGGACTAGAAGACCTCCAAGGTCCCTTCCAGCTCTATTCTATTCTATTCTATTCTATTCTATTCTATTCTGCCTGATGGGGTCTTTGTAATCTTGCATTATATGAAAATATGGTGGATAGAAATATAGTCTTGAAAGGCTACCCTGTTTTGGATCCACAGAAGTACAGTACAAATTATGTGGCCTGTTTTGTTTTGATCGCAAAGGCATGGAGACGAGGCAGGAGTAACAAACAGTCTTGTCTTTATTCAATTCACCAAAGAACCAAAAACGAAATGGCGCGGATTGCTCTTATACCCTTTTGCAGGGACAGTATCAGCCAATCAATGCAAGGCATTTCTCCCGCCTTGCGCATGTGTGCAAGGCGGGAGACAGCCTGTCTGGTCCCGGGCATTCACGTGGTCTGCCCGGGGCCTCTCTGCAGCCTCCTGCATCTGCTGAGTGACTCAGCAGGCCCAGGACATAACATGGCCCTGGGGTTTTTGATAATGTTTGAAGAAAGTACAATATCTTGTTTGATGAAAAAGCCTTGTTTGTTTGCTTGTTCATTTATTACTGGTATTTTTATGCAGCTCTACTCTAAAAGAACTCTGAGTAGTATATGGCAAAAATAATAACATTATAATTATATGAACCAATAGAGATAGAGTTTAAAAAGAAATCTAATGTCCTCCAAATATTGCAAAAGTTAACTGTTCTTAGCTATTTTAGCAATGTAGCACTTACCAGATGTTTTGAACAATAGTTCTCAAAACTGGCAGCCAGTTTAGCCAGTCTGGAATTCTAGAGTTCGTAGTCCAATACAGCTGGAGTGTCTCAAAGGCTACTGGTTGGAAAATAGGCAAATATACAACCATCTACACATCTAGTTTCTACCAAGTCTATATTTTAAAATATGATTGTTCTTATGGCTTATAGTATACCTCTCAGGTATCTAAGTTAATCTTCTAACTATCCAGAATTTAAAATGTTTGTCCAAGTTTGCTGATGCATCATGTCTATGTGCTTGACTGTCCAATATATGTTATTTTCTTACACTTCTACAAGTTAGTAGCTGTCCCATATACTTACATTTCAGATGTAGAAATCTTCAAATGAGCAAGGCGTGGTTGATAGTGGAAGAGATTAATTGATTGAGCTGAGGAATCTAGTTGCTCCCCTTCATCTACAAAGGAAGAGGGGTGGTAAAAGAGCTATAGTTTAGCAGGTTACACTTTGAATCTTGGCAAGGAACCAGGTAAACATGCAATCATCAACCAGATAAGTCATCCCTTCCTGAGAAGGCTGGCCCTTCCATTAAGCAGGGTGAAGTGATCTGCTCAGGCAACTGATTCTGGTATCAGGAACAGCAGCAAACTGTTAGTAATTTAATGTGATGTTAATATTTCCTCAGCGTGACAGGGAATGTTGTGGCCTCATTTCCAAAATCAGATAGCAAGGATTTCTAATATTTGTTTCTAATAGAAATTAGAACCCATTAAGATTGACTTTATTTCTATACTAGTCACATAAACAGATCCCTTAGGTGCAAACTGGATATAATTTAAATTGTTGGTTATTTGGTGGAGAATTTATAAATTTTAGTTTCTTCCTATTGAAGTTATAAACCCTTCTCATAATTCTCATAACTGAAGTGGATGGAATCCATTTGCATATTTGAAGATTCTCAAGAATGCCATCTGGATGCACAATCTGGTGTTTGTTTATAGTCAGCCATGTTCTTGTTATCCTTGCCATGTTTTAATCCCCCCACCAATCAATTTTATTGATATCTTTTTCTTTACTTAAAAGACTTATATGGCTGGTCATCTTATGTACAAAACAATAAAACATCAAAGAATATTTAGAAATAATTAACAGGCACTCCTGGCACTCTCCTACCCACCCCCCAAAAACACTCCTCCATACATCAAAATCTGTTTTTTTCTGGGCTCCAGCCTCAGCCTACCCCACCCTAAGCTTAAAGTGATTTCTTCAGCTGGCTTTATAAAGGCAGTGCCTTTGTGTGTTTTGCATACCCCTATTACGTGTAAATGTTAATTGACTGCAGGGGAGCAATTTTTTAGAGTCAACTTCTGAGGAGAAGAGTGCTCCTGTCTGGAATAAATACAACCACTTTTGTCAATTCATGTATAACTATAAAAGCATTGCATGGCAAAAAAAAAAGAAAAAGAATTGGCGATGCTAGCTTTGAAAATGAAGTCTCTGAATCTGCAGTGTTCAGCCTAGGGCAGGGGTAGGCAACCTTGGCTCTTTTATGACTCGTGGACTTCAACTCCCAGAATTCCTAAGCCAGCATGGCTGACTCAGGAATTCTGGGAGTTGAAGTCCACGAGTCATAAAAGAGCCAAGGTTGCCTACCCCTGGCCTAGGGGCTCCCTCCGACAGAGTGGAACGTCTGGAAGGAAGCAGTTTCGTCATCCCAGCCCCCTGCGTGCACACAAAGCGCAATGAGTTGTAGCTTTAAAAGTGAAGTCTCTGGAGGATTCTCCTTTTTTTTTTAAAAAAAGCATAATTTTACAGGGTTTTTTCCTGACTCTACTGCCTGGAGAAATCTGGGATCTGAAGTTCACATATCTTAAAGGTTGAGAAATCAAAGACCAAAATCCTAAACTGAACAGACTTTAGTCTGATATGTTAACAACTGGCTATTACCAACAGAGGGAGCTCTTGATCCGATAATAGACAACAAACCATACGAAGCGTTTCCTCAACCCTTTGATTTACAGCAGGGGTGTCAAACTGGCCGGATGCCTCACGCGCAGGCCACGCCCACCCCGGCTCCGCAAAGGCAAAAAACATTGCGCTATGTCACATGATGCGATCGAGTTTGACACCCGTGATTTACAGGGAAAAGGAGCAGATGCAGAGCGTTTGGGTTGAGTCAGCTGAGTCAGTTTAATATCCTTCAGGGGTGTAACACTATAAATCCCATTTCCTATAACATCATCCCTACCTAGAATGACAACAGGGGTTAGTTAAAATCTAAAAGAACTAAGGGAGTACAGAGAAGAGCAACAAAGATGATTAGGGGACTGGAGGCTAAAACATATAAGGAAAGGCTGCTGGAATTGGGTATGTCTAGTTTAACGAAGAGAAGGACGAGGGGGGGACATGATAGCAGTGTTCCAATATCTCAGGGGTTGCCACAAAGAAGAAGGAGTCAAGCTATTCTCCAAAGGGCCTGAAGGCAGGACAAGAAGCAATGGATGGAAACTGATCAAGGAGAGAAGCAACTTAGAACTAAGGAGAAACTTCCTGACAGTTAGAACAATTAACCAGTGGAACAACCTGCCTCCAGAAGTGGTGAATGCTCCAACACTGGAAGTTTTAAAGAGACTGGACAGCCATTTGTCCGAAATGGTGTAGGGTTTCCTGCCTGAGCAGGGGGTTGGACTAGATGACCTCCAAAGTCCCTTCCAACTTTACTACTACTACTACTACTACTACTACTACTACTACTACTACTACTACTACCATTATTATTATTATTATTATTATTATTATTATTATTATTATTATTATTATTATTATTATTATTACTACATCTAGTAAGAAAATATTGTTCTGAAGAACTCTTCTTTCAAACTTTGGAGTTATGAACCTTTGCTGTTACGAATAAACCTGTCCACAATTCCAACCTACAAGGTCCCAAAAGTTGAGACTTTTCAGTGTGCTGCATATCTATCCTTGTTTGGATTTGCAAATAAAATATATTTACAAACAGCCTCTCAGAACATAACCTCTGTTTATAAATAGAGCAATCTTTGTACTAAAATATATTTTGAAATATTCTGTTCCTCTAGCCCAGTGGTAGGCAACCTTGGCTCTTTTATGACTCGTGGACTTCAACTCCCAGAATTCCTGAGCCAGCATGCTGGCTCAGGAATTCTGGGAGTTGAAGTCCATGAGTCATAAAAGAGCCAAGGTTGCCTACCCCTGCTCTAGCCCTATTGTATCATATAACTGGTACAGAAGAAGTTGGTCAAAATTTCACAAGAAACCAGCCACAATTCTACACACTGTTTTCAGTAGACTCTTAAATTCTTAGGTAAATGATGAGCACTATAGAAGATCCTAAATTGACTCTCTCTGAAGAAAGAACTGTTGAATTTAGAGTCTTGTCAATGGACACAAAACTTCAGTCTGAAGCTACTGATTTGATATCTTTACACAAAAATATGGAGAATGATTTTTTTGTGTGCAGCCTTAGTTTGTACCCTGTAAAAAGATAAACACAATTCTTCAGTAGAGTACTTTACTTCTTGTTACAGTATTTTAAATTTCAATAGACTGTAGATGCTGTTCAAAACTAAGAAAAAAAACATTAAATCAGCTAAAAACATTAAATCAGCTAAGAACATTAAATCAGCTAAGAACATTAAATAATATGAACAGCCCAACATTAAATCAGAAGAAATGGCCAATAAATAAATAGCCATGTAATGTGTGACAGCTGATAATATCTGATGAAATAGGAGTGGTTGCAAGAAGAGGCAGCATAAATCATAGTTATGTTTAGCCAGTAGAGCTCTGGGATATATAACCATAATCTTTCTAGCCTATTGGAAGCCATCGTTCTTACAGTTATCACTACACAGCAGCTTCAGAGAGCACAGACAATGTCACCAAACTACAGGTAGGGGATTGTCTCCCAATGATGGCCTGTTTGTGAGAACCTGCACCTCCTTATCAGCACTTAGAGAGATGGCAACTACCCCTTGCACAATAGATTTAAAGTCCGAATTTTCTGTTTAAATTAGCTCTATATCCTCATCTTCCATGTGATAAATAGGCCACTTAAGACATAGACACATTCATTCATAGTCGGGCTTCCCAGGGCTACCATTAGGAGAAAGATATTGTACAAAATGGAGAATCCTAACTATGCTTCAAAGATATTTCAGCACAGAGTGATGGAATATTTTGATTGTTTCACTATGTGCCCAGATAATTGCCAAAAATGAGAGAAAAAAATAATGTTGCCAATGTGTCTAAATGGCAGTAAATCAATGAGGCATTGAGTTAGAGTCTGGACTGTTTGAAATCTAATTGCGGGGAGACTTCATGGCATCCTCGCTCCGTCATTTCCACATTTGCCTGGCTGTTTGCCAGGCGCCACTTATGAGGCAGGAGATGGGAAGATCCCACAGGAGGGAAATATGATGTGGCTCCTTCTGGTGCCAATGCTGATGAGGCAGAAATCTGTCAGTGACTCCCATTTTCTGATTGATGGAACCACAGAGCAACTGGCTTCACACAAGCATCAATCTCCTGCCCAAGGTAGTAGAAGTGACATGGAGAATTTGTGTGAACGATAACAACCTGGATAAAATCGAAGTATTCTGGTTCCATTCCACCGAAGGCCCCAGTGACAAAAACACAGAGTTCTTACTCAATACGGTATGCAAAATAATTTGGAGATTAGTTAATAAGTCAGGGTTTATGTGTAGCTGTCTTTAGAAGGCAAAAATAGATTGTCTTCAAATATTCTGAAGTTTAAACAGCAAGTAAATCAAGAATAATTCAATAACGTAACAATATACAATAACCAAAAATCATTTTTTTAAAAAATCTAAAGCTGGTTAATGGTTTGTTGAAATCATTAGAGCTGGATTTTAAATTATGTCATATTTTTTAAAAAGGCCATAGCACCATTGTTCAATTTATAAGTGTAAAATATAGCTATTTTACTGATGAATACTGGCTGGTGCAAAGCACTGAAAAGCAAACAGTTTGTGGATAAGGATTGAGACAGATTTGGCACCAAGTCAAGTAATTGTTCCTGGATAAGGATTGAGACATTTGACACAAGGTCAAATTATGCTCTCACTTCCCAGCATGGACTTGGATTTATGTACAGTGTATTATGCAAACACAGACACCCTCATTATGCATTTAACACCTTGCTATGTGCATTTGGAAACTTTACAAGTCCAGATCCAAGAATCAATTACCCTCAGGGGGCATATTGGTGGCATCCATTTATAACCCTTCTTGCTGTGAGAAATTAGGGAAGCTCTATTTAAACCGAGCCTAAGGGCCCTTCTCCTTGGCTGAGTTAAAAGCTATCTACCCTTTCATCAATCAGCAAAAATTAACTGCCTTCATGGCTGATCCTTATCCTGCATTTGTTGTCTCCATTCTGAGTCACTGTCAAATAAT